GCAAGTGGGATCAGGGTCGGATTCCTCCCGCAGTCCTTGGGAACACTGGGCTGGCACCAGAGCCCCATGGCTGGAGCCGGAGCATGGACCATCCAGGGGGGAGCTGGAAGCAGGTGGTGGGCTTGGGGACCACTGACAAGGGACCTCTTGTAGTCCAGCAAATTCTTACCAGTACAGAATGAGAAATCCCGATGGGTGCCAGAGTAGGGAGATCCAATCTGTACATGAATCTATTCCAACTGACCTCAGTTTTGATACATTCCCAGCAGAATTTTTTAATTTAATTGAAGATATCATTATGTGTTACAGATATATATTGGAACTATCATCTGTGGTGGAAGTATAGTAATTTGTTTTTTTAAATAAAGGAAGAATCTTTTGGTATCAATATTGCAGCTGTGACTTTTTTTTAGTAACTTGAAGGAAGTTGGACACCTAACTCCTATTACATTTCAGCTTGAGTCAGACCCCTTTAAAGATTCCAGTCTTATGTGGAACCTAATCTACTATCTTTAGTGCCTACAAATACATATTTAGGTTATACATATTGATTTTAAATGCATTTAATGTGTTTGGGATCTATCTGTGTAAAACAGTAGATATTTAAAACTGCTTTGCATATTGTGTTAGGCAGGCGAGGTTTTTTTACAAATGCTAATAAATTACTTGAGCTTCAAAAGAGTTATGTTTAAAATGAGAATTCGTCTTCTTTTGTAGGCTGGAGAAAAACTTTTTAATGTATTTTACCAGATTTCACATAATAGCAGTTTTAATAATTAGTTACAGGATATTGCGAATGCAAAACTTGCTGATGCAGTTAGTTGTGTTTTAATAGATCATTGACTCATCAGTCAGACTCTGACCACCTCAGAGATAAGAAGTTATAGTTCCATTGGTCTGTCTGAGTACAGCACCCTTCTGCAAATTGAGAAATGGTATAATCATTAACTGGGGTAATGGAGTGAGCATTCAGGTTTCAGCTAGTATCTCTGAGTTTTAAGTCCTGTTATCTTTAGTGTGATTAACTCTGTAAGTTATGTGTGTATGATCAACCTGTTTTGTAAATAGGCATTATTCTACACAGTGGTGTGTCAGCAGGTGCTCAGGTGACTTTTTGATCATTTTAAAGGTCTGCAGTCTTAATAATAAATTCTGTTTTCTTTTTTTGACCTGTTTCTAAAAAAAAACATGTAAATTATAAAGGCAAAGAGAGCTCCCCAGTAGTGAAACTTATTGAAGTAAATAAATGATAGAATTACCTACTGAAAAGAGTTGTTTTAAAGGGCCATCACTATACTCAGGTTTACATTTTTTTTCAGAACCTTATTAAAATATTACATACTTTCCAAATGAATACTGATTATGAAGAGTTAATTAATGTTGTCAAAGGTCAGTGCATGTGACCATATAATCAGTTGGGTATTGCCAAAGCATATTGTTTTATTGTGGTATCGCTGGATGAATCGGATTAGACCAAAGGCGGATAATATTTCCTTTGAACCTTCCAACGTTCAAAAGAACATAAGAAAAATTGCAGTGCAGGGCCTGAAATGAGGGGAATTAAGTTCTTTACCTTTCACAATGATTTCTGTATCTTCTACTTCTAAATTCTGTGTTTGTGATGTAATATATTTATTGCAGAAAAAGTGTGAGTATCCAAAGTTAATATAGTATAGAGAGAGGTGCTGATGTAAATTGAGTCTAAAAAGTTATGCTTTCATATAGGAGAATACCTGAATTTACATGCAGGTACTTGGCTCTATCAGAAAAGAAGAGAAAAAAATGGAGAAGATGACAATTTCATGAGAAGTTGCTAAAACAGTCCATAATTAAGAGTTTGACAGCCCATAGTGATTTCGGATATTTTGAAAAACGCTCTGACATCTAATATAAAATAGGCATCTTTAAAACAATGCCATATGTTTACATTGCATACATTCTGTATACAGCATAATTAATTTTGAATATATTTTCATGTGCCAAATAATTTATTTCAAAACAGGTGACTTGCTAGACCAAATGACATCTTCATGCAAATAACTTTTTGTCATTATATGAAAAGCTGACAAAAATGATCAGATTGTTGTTTCATTAATCCACTTAAAGGAAAGTATTTCATATAATGTCACAAGTTGGCCCTGGGCATGTACTGTACATGTAGGGTATTACCTCCTGCCAACATTCTCAGTTTATTTCCCCATCTACAGCTGGCAGATGTTTCTCTGCTTCACAGTATTCTGGTATTGCAATAAACAAGCCACCATTTAATACTTTTTGTTTATGTAAGGAATGTGTACGTTGCTAGATCATGTAATGACTGAGCAATAATGCAAAAATAGTTGCCTAAAGAAGACCATGTTCAAATGGCTTTGAAAATATTGTAGTCATGTACAGTAAAACCGGTGTTATCCGGCATGCTCGGGGATTAGGGCATTCCGGTTATCTGAGGGTCCCATCAACCTAGGAAAAACCAATGGACAATAATAGTAAAACTCAAGTTTTTAATACTGGTAGTTAGTCTCACATTTCTATTTTGAGTTAAAGATGATTAGTACTACTTAAATAAAAAATTAAGACAATCGTAGTAAAGCAAGCCAGGCCAGTGCACCTGAAGATGTTTCAGTATTGTGGCTGGGGGCAATGCCAGTTAACAAAGTTTTCTGGTCAACAGAGTGCCGGATAAAGCTTTCACTTTATTTATGTAGTGTCTATCAACAAGGTACAAAGCAGAAATCAGATTATGTGCATACACATACAGCAGATTAGGAATGTAAAGGTTTAACCAGTTAACTGGTAAGCATTGCTTTACTGGCATGGTTACCGGGGTAACCAGTTAACCAATTAATGGGGTAACCAATTAACCAGTTCAGCTGGGCCCTCTGCACCACACCGTGGAGAGCACTCCAGCTCAGCCAGGCCCACTACATCTAGAAACAGTCCCTCACCCACAGCACAGTGAGGTGGGCCCTGCCCAGCCCAGCCAGAGCAGTTCCCACCCACAGTGTGCCACGGATGAGGGGCTGCTCCAGCCCAGCTGGGCCCACTGAGCCGCTGGCAGTAGGGCTGCTTCAGGGCTCCCCTCCCCACAGTGCAGCACAGTTTACCAGTTAAACCTATAGTTTAACTGGTTAACAATTTACTTGGGATTTTACGTCCCTAATACAGATCTGTGGATAGATGTCTATCACTTTTTCCAGGTGTGAAATCCTCTGGGAGGAAATGGAACAACTTTTCATTATCATCCTGTCTACCCTTCTCTCCATCTTTCTGTGCTCTGATGTACTCCACTTCCTTTAACCACATTGTCATGGGGTCTCTTTACACCTCCCAGGGTAGGGCAATGACCTAGGAGCCCCGCAGTTACATCACTCAGGTCCGTCAGCTGTTCTCTCTCAAGGGTGTTCACAGGAGTCAAGGTACCTGTCTGGGCATCAGTCTGATTCCTGTGGTCCAAGCTCCAGGCTGATCACAGCAAAGGCTGGCCTGGCAGTGTCAGGTGGGCGGGGCTTCCCTAGCTAAGTGCACTCTTGTATCCCAAGCCCAATACACACAAATTTATAAGGAGCAAGCACAATTGCTTAAAATGAAATATAGAGCTATTTAACCCACAATGAACTAAAACTACTACATAATCCTATTGTTATAAACCCTGTCCTCCCTTTCCCATCATTTGTTATGTGTAAACTTCAACTAAGTTTTTGGGGGGCAAGAACCATGTCTCCCTTCCCCCCAAAGTTCTATGAATCCACATGACACTATGCAAAATGATGAAAGACTATTTCACCCAATTGAAATGTAGGGTAGAGGTGGAATTTGACAAAATCCATGCTATGAAACCTTTAAGGACCACAAGTCTGCCAGGACCTCAGCTTTCTGTTAAATCTAAGTGGTTCCCACTTAAACCGAAATCAACACTGCAGAGATGGATCGTCAATTTAGTGGGTCTAGCACAGACTCGCTAAATCAACCATTAATGGTGCTCCCATCAACTCCAGTACTCCACTGGGTCATGAGGAGTAAGGGAAGTCGACTGGAGAGTTTCTCCCATTGATCTGCAGTGGGGATCCTGCAGAAATTCAGCCTAAGGTCCATTGACTCCTGCTACGCTATTCAGGTAGCTGGAGATGCGTATCTAAGGTCAATTATCTCCCCTAGTATAGACCTGGCCTAGTGTACCTATATATCCTGGGCAAATGTGTGGGAGGGGGTTGGCTCCATGCTTCAGAAGGGGCAGGGTCTTTGTAGAAGGGCTGGGCTGGAGGCAGTCAGCCCTCAGTGCTGCCTGGAGTGCGACGCATAGCACTTCAGCAGTGATTTAAAGGGCCCAAGTCTCTGGCCTCCACTGCTGCTGTACTGCTGGGATGAACACCATAAGTGCTGTTTGGGCTTCTTTAGTTTTGCCTTTTACAGTTTTTTTCTGATATATTTATGCAGTTTTACATGGAAAAACTAGAGAGAGAGCCAGGGAATTAAAAACAAATCTAGAACCTTTCTTTTTAATCATAGTCAAAATTACAAAATAAAAGAACTCCATATGTTTGCATGTAATTCTCCATGAGTCTGTTTCCTTCAACAATACAATGAATTGATCATGTCTGTGTGATTTTTGTTGATTACCATCATCTTGCAGAGTATGTATGAAACATGTTATTTGTTATACTTCTGGAAATAGTGTAAAACAACACCACCTCTCTAAGATAAATTTCTTTTACATACTTGAAATTTCAAATTATGTATTTATCTCTTTTAAATTATTTTTCTGTTTCTCAGTCAAACACTGTGGAAAGTTGCTTTCAATCATGTAAACCCTTACATAGTACTTAAAGAAAATAGCAGCTGGGTTTTCATTTAATCAAAGATGACTTTACATTTTGGTGATATGTTTAAATGCCGATTTACCTTCAGATGTGAATATGGGGTGAGAGACGTCTTGCAGTATTCATTTGTAAACCAGTCACACTCTGAGCACAGAACCTGATCTAACAATCTTTTCTCCTCAGAGACCAGATTTTCCTACTGAGCGCCTCACCAAGATTTGCTAAGAACTGAATCACATTGTTGTTCTGTGAACCTTATCTCAGAATCACAATCCGCTGGCTTCCTTTTTCCTAAGAAGGTAAGAAGCTTACCCTGAGGGATAGTGAAACAGGTAAGAGAACAGAACAAAAGAACATTGACTCATGCGCATTTCAGTTTTTTTCTCCTGAGAAAGATGAAAGTATTAGAACTACAGGCTTTTCACCAAACTTTCCAGAGGTATACAGTTTTGTTTCCACTGATATGACAGCACCAGGTTTGCATATGTCTATGTAACCCACACACCTAGGCTATGTCCATACTACGAGCCTCTTGCACAAGAGGAAATGCAAATGGAGCACTCATTTGCATATGTCATGCTTTCATTTGCATTTCCTTTTCGGATCCCTTTTGTGCAAGAGGTTTTTGCACAAAAAAGCGCTGTGTAGACTGCTCCTTTTGTGCAAAAAACCCGTTTTGCACAAGAGCCGTTCTTCCTCAGGAGGAACAGCTCTTGTGCAAAAGGGGGGTTTTGCGCAAAAAGGAGCCGTCTACACCACTTTTTTGCACAAAAACCTCTTGCGCAAAAGAGATCTGAGAATGAAATGCAAATGAGAGCATAACATATGCAAATAAGCGCTCCATTTGCATTTCCTCTTGTGAAAGAGGCTAGTAGTGTAGACGTAGCCCTAGTATGGTTCACTGTCCCATGCAGTGGCACCTAGACCACAGCAACAGCTAAGATCAAGAGACCGAGACAGCTGGCTTTTAGCTCAAAGGGTAGAGGCTCCTAAACTAAGCTCCAGAGGTCCCAGGTTCAAATCCACCTGGTGGTGGTTACATCTACATATCAACATTCTCAAGTATTTCAAAGACTACTCCTTATGGACATATATTTTTGAAGCACAGCCTTTCCTTCCTTCTGTCTGATCCTTTGATTAAATAAGGATTTAAATGTTGTTTTCATCCTAATCTACAAGGTATTAAATTTGTTATATTTAGAAGTTACTCTAGTTAATGCTGCATCCAAAGATTAGGCTATAATCAAAAGAAGTTTGTCCAATATACATAGCAGACAGATACTGTTGGTACATGATGGCATAAATTATATTTCTGGATGAACAGGATATAATTCCTGTTCATCTAGAAATATGATTTATGCCATCATGTGTCAATTGTGTCCATCTGCTATGTATATTGGACAAACTTCTCAGACACTTTGCCAAAGAATTAAAAAGAACGGAGCTTTGCGGCCCAACCACCCACATCTTCCCCCTGCCCTCACAAAAAAAGAAAATGAAAAAGAAGAAAAAGCTCAAGAGAGAAAAACTTAGGGGGTTGTATTTCCAGTGTGGACAGAAGTTGTCCCATGGCTTCTGCCATGCCCAGCTCCCCAGGCTTTAAAAAGTGCAGTAGCTTTCACAAAGCCATTCTTGCTTCCGAAGGACACTCCTCTTGCATTCAGTGTCTCGGTGAGTCACATAGTCCTCAAAAATGCCCTCACTGCAGCAAGTTGACTGCCTGGGCTCATCGAGATAGGGAGATGCATCTCCCCATGCTCCTTTTTAATAAGGCTCTTCAGCCTCTGAGGCCGAGGACTCTGCCTCTCATTCTGAGCCACTCAGAGTCCAGAAAAGATGTGCGAGCTCTCCAGCACCAAAACCAGTGTCAAAAAAGAGACTCGACGACATGATCCTTGCTGGCTCTTCATCTGCCCGGGTCAACACCAGTGACAAACTGGGCATCTCCGGCACTATATCCTGCCATTCCTCATAGCCTGCAGAACTGAAGTCCCAGCATGGGAAGTAACCGGCACTGGCAACTTTGGCCCCAGTACTGACACCAGTGCCAATTACTACACCAGCACCAACTAAGTCCTGTGAAATGGGTAAGTCATCCACCTCATCCATACTGGCGGTGCTGACCAATCTATCAGGCTGTGTCCAGACTCAGGGGTTTTTTCGAAAAAAGTAGCCTTTTTTCGAAAAAACTTCACCTGCGTCTAGACTGCAGCCGCGTTCTTTCGAAATTAAATCAAAAGAATGCGGCTTTTCTTTCGACGGTGGTAAACCTCATTTCACGAGGAAGAACGCCTTCTTTCGAAAGTGCTCTTTCGAAAGAAGGCGTTCTTGAATGTAAATAGGGCTTCTTCGAAAGAGAGCATCCAGACTCACTGGGTGCTTTCTTTCGAAAAAGCGGCTTGCTTTTTCGAAAGTTCCGCGTCCAGTCTAGACGCTCCCTTTCAAAAGAGGCTCTTTCGAAAGTATCTTTCGAAAGAGGCTTGCAGTCTAGACATAGCCTCAGTGCCGACGAAGGCCCTTTCCAAATCTAGCCACACTCATACTACATCTGTGAGTCTGGCACCAACCTTCTCACCAGCATTGCTATAACCATCATTGGTGCCAATAGAGTTCTGTTTCTTGTTCTCATGGCACTGTTGTAGGTGGCGTTGCAAATTATTTACGAGTCCGATATGCTACACATTTGTATACTCCTTCATGCTTTAGTCAACCAGAGGACATGCTTCCAAGTTGATGTTGATCATTAAAAATATATATATTAATTAGTTTGTGCCTGAACGCCTTAGAGAACAGTTGTGTGGATCCTGCTCCAGGGCTGACAGTCTAGCACAGTGGTCCCCAACGTTGCGTGGCAATTATTTACGAGTCCGATATGCTACACATTTGTATACTCCTTCATGCTTTAGTCAACCAGAGGACATGCTTCCAAGTTGATGTTGATCATTAAAAATATATATATTAATTAGTTTGTGCCTGAACGCCTTAGAGAACAGTTGTGTGGATCCTGCTCCAGGGCTGACAGTCTAGCACAGTGGTCCCCAACGTTGCGTGGCA